CAGCCGGCGCAGCAGCCGGGGCAGCAGCCGGCACCGCAGCAGAGTGGCAACAAGAGCAGGCCCAAAAAGCGCGAGGGCATCCACCTGCCCACCACCAAGGAGCTGGCCAAGCGCCAGCGACTGCCATCAGTGGAGAACAGGCCCAAGATTGCTGCTTTCCTCCCCGCACGGCAGCTGTGGAAGTGGTTTGGGAAACCCACACAGGTAAATAGAGCCTCTCCTACCGCTCCATCATGCTCTGCGCTGGCGTTTGCCTTGTGGTGCCTCTTACCCACGCCCTTTCCCTTCTCCTGGGGCGGTGGGACTCTGCTGGCATGGTGTGTCCCCAGACAACATCTCCAGTTTGCAAGGAGATTGGGGTTGGCCTTCGCTGTGTCTGGGGGAGCCATCCTGCAGGGCGTGTCCCTCTGCCCTGTTTCCTGTGGGAATGCCTGTGGATGCTGTGGCTCTGCTGACTGCCAAGGGTGGGATGTGGGACAGGGCAAGCAGTGGTGGCTGGGGGAAACCTGGGCAATCCCTGGCTGCTCACCTGTGTGATCCTCTCTTGGCAGAGACGAGGAATGAAAGGGAAGGCCAGGAAGCTCTTCTACAAGGCTATTGTCCGGGGCAAGGAGATAATCCGCATCGGAGACTGTGCAGTCTTCCTCTCAGCCGGCCGCCCCAACCTGCCCTACATTGGCCGGATCCAGAGCATGTGGGAGTCGTGGGGGAACAACATGGTGGTCCGAGTCAAGTGGTTTTATCACCCAGAAGAAACCAACCCTGGGAAGAAACTCAACGAAGGCAAGGTAGGCTGGTCTCCTTTGCCGAGAGGGCTGCAAAGCTGCTTGTTCCCTTTTGTTTCCAAGGGTGAGAAAAACATCTGTGGCCTGGTTTGTTACTGGTACCATAATGGGGGTGGCCATGTTGTTTCACGTCGTGAGGGCTGCCTGTGGTGTGGACAAGCCTGGTGTTTACCCCTTGAGACTTTTGTGTTGATCCAAAAAGCGTCAAGAGCCAGATCGAGTCTCTTCACAGTGTAAGAACGACTGACCTGGTGCTCAGAAACACCGAATTCTGCACACATGTGCAGTGTGGTTTGCAGTAGGCTTAGTGTCTGTTACCAGTGGCTGTGGACAGGGGTTGAGGTGGTAAAGGCACATGTGGTGGGCAGGAGGTGATAGCATGGAAAAACAACTCATTGACCTGCTTTTCATTTCTGTTTTCTCTTTTCCTCTTGGGCACAGCGCTGGGATCAGAAATCGGGCAGGAGTCTGTCCACAGCTTTGCAAGCATCCAACCAGAGGAAGGACTTTATGGAGGTTGGTGAGGTTGGGGGAGGGCTGGGAGGGAGTGCTGGGGACACCACAACAAATGCTGCTGGGGAAATGCCCCCCCAAGCTCCTCTGGCTCTTGCTTTTTGCCTTGACTGTGGAGTCTGCAGTGCCCAGGACTTTGGAGAGGTGTTCCTGGGAGGGTGGGAGTAGCTGCAGGTGCTGGGTGTTGGGAGGAACAGAGGGCTGGTACCCAGCACCTATCTTAGCATTTGCATCCTTGAAGTGAGGATGACAAGCTCCCAGCCCCCGTATTCCCTGTCCGTGCGTCCAGCAGGCACAGCGTTCCCACCGGGGGGGAGCTGAGTGAGAGCGAGGGCTCAGGTTTCATGTGCTGCACAGATTGCATCCGTGCCGATTCCCAGTGTCCCCGTGCAGATTCCCAGTGTCCCTTCTCCTGGGCTGGCAGTGGGGATGAGTGGGGAGTTCTGCTTGAGTGCGAGCACAAGCCCTGGCCCGTTGCGATGGCTGTTTTTCCTGCATATTGAAGATGATGCTGTAAATGCTGTGCGATCTAATTGCTCCTTTTCTTTCCGTCTCCCTCCTTCCGTTCCTGTAACACAGCGAGCCCTCTACCAGTCCTCTCACGTGGATGAAAACGATGTCCAGACCATCTCACACAAGTGTCTTGTTGTTGGTCTGGATCAGTATGAGCAGATGCTAAAGACAAAGAAATACCAAGACAGTGAGGACCTCTACTACCTTGCAGGGACCTATGAGCCCACTACGGGCATGATCTTCAACACCGACGGGGTCCCTGTCATCTGCTGACCGCCCAGGGGACACGTGCCACCCCCTGGGAAGGGACGGGACAAACCTGAGGACGTGCCTGTTCAGACGACATGATTGTTTCTTTCAATGCTCATGACTTCTGTGTCACACTACAGACAGGAGAGCGCGTGAGACACGAGGAGGAAGGAGAGGGCTGAAGAAAGGGGTTGGGGAAGCAGTTACAGGACTTGAGGAAGATGCCGTTGGGGGGTGGTTGGGGTGGTGCTTGAACCCCAAGGCTCTTCTGGAAGTGGCTTTAAGTAAGGTGACACTTGACCAACTTCTCCCTTCCTCCTTTTGGTCCAGGAAAGCACATGGGTCTCGTGATCATTTCACCAGCGGGACCCCCCCCGGCAGGAGGGATCCCTTTTGTGTCATTTGTCCCCATCAGTAACTCGGAAGCCGCCTGTATGTGGAAGGACACCCGCTAGCCTTCTGCGTACGCTCCTCTCCGTCCTTATATTCCCTTTCCTGCTTAGTTTCGCATGACCCTTTAGGAAGGACAGGGTGAAAGAGAAAGGAGATGAGTCTCTCTCAGCGCCTCGTCTTGATCCTCTCAGCGCCTTTTTGCGGTTCCCTTCCCCTGGAGGCCCCTGGCCGGCAGTGTGGAGCACGAAGAGGCAGAGCTGGCCGCAGCACAAGAGATGGCAGAAGAGTTCCTCCGGGCTGGGAGGAGCTGGGTGGAAGACGAACCGACATCCAGTCTGGGATGATGCCTTCCTGCTGCCTCGAACAAACGGCCTGAACCCACCTTCCCCATCTCTCTGCATCCCTCCTGCCCTGGGAGGGCGCTGGGGGGAGCAAGCACAGGGCCGGGAGGTGACACTTGATGAACAAAGAACTCGTCTTGGAGCGTGCAGCGAAGGGGAGCAGGAGATGACTGGGAAAAGCTGCTGCTCGGTGCTTGCAGCAGAGGAGACCACAGGCCATTGGATTTTGGCATCCCTTGCCCAGCTTTACCCCCCCGCGACTTGCCTGAGCAGAGATGTGGAGCTGCTGGGGAGCCCTCTTCCCCCATTTGAAGGGAAGGGAGATAGAGCGTGAAGCCCAGCCATGCCTGCCTGCGGCGTTTCACAGCCAGAGCCCCACTGCCACCTGGGGCGCAGGGAAGGGGCCGTGCAGCTCGTTCCGTCCAGCCAGCCAACCTCCCAACAGCTCCCGGAGAGCCACCACCATCGCCTTCTCCCTCCCTCTGCGGAGCTGACCCACCACCTCGCTCCCGCTGGGCACACGCAGGACCCGTGGCATCACCACGCACCAGGGTTGCACCCAGACGGGAGGGGACACCAGAGGAGAACCACGCAACGATACAACATCCTTGCACTTAAAACAAACAAACAAACAAAAAAAAAAACTCCAAGAGACGCACTGATCTTTGCAACTAGCGACTCGCACTACAGATGATTGCTAGGACGCGGAGCGGGGTCCGGCTCGGCCGGGAGTGACGGCCCAGGCTCCGGTGGGGAGACGCTTAAGACAAGGACAGATTGGAAACTATCCGCCCTGGTACCGGCTGCGTACCGGAGACTGGAGGCCGGGGCTCAGGGGAGAGGGACGCTCCTGCGAAGTTACCCCCTCGTCCTTTAAACAACCCCCATGGTGCTGAGCTCGTACCATCTCCACCCCAGGCCACCGGCGCCTCGGCGCGGCGGATAGCGACGGGTCTAGCCTGTACAGTTTTAATGTACCAAAAGACTCTCTAGCCCTCCTGTATTATAAGTCTTTAAATGGATTCAACTTTTTAATTATAAATATAAATATAAATATATATATATAAATATAAACTTTTTAAAACTGTGAAAAAAATTATGAAATTATAAAAAAAAAAAAAAAAAAAAGGAAAAAAACCCAACGACAGAAATGAACACAGTCTGACGTTTAGAATATTATTTTTTATTTCCTGTTGGATTGTGATTGTAAATGATCTGGGAACAGGCACACCCCCCCACGCTCAAAGTGTACTGTACTTCTAGAAGCAAATTGTGTGAGCATATTTTAAAGAGCGAGAGAGAGAGAGCGCGCGAGAGAGATTTTATGCTAATGTTAAATAGAAAGCACTTAAAACCCACTGCCTTCTATGGAACACAAGGATATTTCAGACAATCGAGAGGAAAGGAGAGCCAGGTTTTTGTCTTTTTTTTTGTTTTGTTTTGTTTATGTTTTGTTTAAAACAATTTTTTTGGCATTCTGTTTGTTGGAGAACTCCGTGTGATCTTTTTTCATAAAAAAAAAAAAAATTAATTGAAAAAAAAAAAAAAAAAAAAAAAGCAACCCAAAAAAGCATCTTTCTTTGTCTCGCTTGTCCTGACTGCGGGGTTTTTCGCCCCTTGGTGGCAACGGTCGCTTTTTGGCTCAGCCCCTGCCTCGTGTTTGGGGACGGGCCCAACCCAGGTGCCGCGTGGCAATTTGGGGAGCCCCCATGGGTCCAGCAGTCCCCCTGAGGGGGGGCACCTGTGGTTGGGAT